CTCGGCTTCGATGTTGTTTCCAAGCAGCATAGGCTAAATTGGGCTTGGAGTTCATCTTACCACTGAGAGTGAAGGCCCCAAGAACCCAAGCATGGGCTTTAGCATGTGCGGATTGCAGAGTTCATCTTATGGGAAAACTGCACAAGACCCAGATTTTTTCTTATTTTGGTATTCAGTTGTGCTTAAACATCCTTCTATTCTATTTATATCCCAAATTCTGCTATGCTGATAACGTTGCAAGACATCCTTTTCTAGAATGAAGCAAGGTATAAGATATTACTTCATTGCTTTCTACCCCAGAATCAATGCTTTGAAAGGCTTACAAGGTATACTTCTTTTGGTTTTTACTGTGACTTCCAACTTTTTCGCATGCAGAGCATCAATGCTTCGTATTGTCGGACAAAATTATTCTTAGCCGTTGGCCCTTCATATTAATAAAATTAAAAAAGCAATATGTGGTAGAGTCCAGGATTATTCTTCTGCATGTTATAATTAATTTAAGGTTAAAAGGTATCGCTGTCCTTTAACTATTCCCACAAAAATGTCTAGTATTATAAATTGATATGTGGTGCAAGTTTTATCTTCAACATTTGAATATGTGTACCGGATATCATGCTATTAAAACTTAAAAGAATTAACTTTGACGATAAGTTAACTTAAAAATAATAAAAAAATAATTTTAAAAATTACAGAAAATACCTAAAAATACATAAGTACCAATACCCTATAAAAAATTAATGCAAATTAAGTCCCTAAAATGATGTGATAATTTATAAGTCTTCATCCAAAATTTATTAATCCTCCTTAAAAAATTTACTACTAATGTTACAAATGCATTCATTTATAAATAACACAATTTGTAGGGAGACTTATAAATTATCACATTATTTTAGGGACTTAATTGATATTAATTTTTTATAGAGTATTTATTTTTAACTTATATTTTTTATTTTATTAATTTTTGAGATCTTTTTTCAGTAATTTTTTGGGTCAAATAGTGATCAAAGTTTTTTTTAAATGGCAAGGTGCCCAATACATCATTTTAAAAACGTTGAAGGGAAAAATTACAACTTAAATAAATTTAGGGACACCAAACATTATTGAGCAAATAGTTTAGAGGCAAAATAAAATTTTTAACCCATTAATTTAATAAGGGAGAATTACAACTAACTTTCTCTCAAGAAAATTTATTATGGACAAGGATTAATTTAGAAAGGATTGTTTGTTAAAATACAAAACATGACTTGTTGTTTCTTGAACGGAACTTATTGTTAGTCTTTGTCCATGATTAGTTTTTTTAAGAGGGAGTTGGCTGTAATTCTCCTTTTAATTAAAGGACTTAAAAGTAAATATCTGATACATACTGGGTCTTGGGTTTGTCCCGTAAGAAATACGTTCTAGTCACCACACAGCGACAATATGTTACATGTTTAAGAGCAGTGATCTAAGCTTTAGTTGCCTTTGTCAGCCTTCACTAATTACAAGGCATAAATCTTTGCTTAAAGTCTGGGATTTCTCATGGCAAAAGTGGAGGATTCGCGTTGTGAATATAATTTACTTTACCCATTTGCCAAGTCTAGAATAATCAAAATGCTTCATGTTATTTCACAAGCTTGATAACTTATGGGGGAGAGAAGCATGCATTTAAATTGGTCTTTTGCTGAGAAGCAAATTGAAAACGAAAAATTAGAAAACCATCAGAATGGACCAACTGGTAGAAGAAAGCTTTCCCATTTCTTCCCGTCTTCTAAGTAAGTGTGGAAACGTGTCATCTCATGCGCTGTCCTTAGTTTCTAAGTATGGGGAACTGCTAAAATTGCAGTACCCTTGGTCATCCTTGGTTGCTTTTGTTGTGTGTGGATTTGTGTGAAGCTTTTTAAGTCAAGGAGAAAGCCTCAGACTCTTGATAGAAGGTCCAAGACCTTTAGAGAGCTATATGGTGGTGATCTAGCATTGAAGAGATTGTTTGACTATCACGAAGCTGAGCCAAGCCCAGACACATTTCATAGAACAGATTCTATAATGAGGATTTGCTTGATGATGAGCATATTGATTTGAAGAAGCTGCAGGTAAGTTGGACGTTGCATTACAAATTTTCTTGTTTGAAATTTGACTTTGAAATCATAAGTGGGAAAAATAACAATTCCCCCATTGAGGGAGATAGGTTTCTGAATATGTAAATATATTTACTGTGAAAGAGTTTTTGTAAATGTTTGACTGGCAGAGTACTGTGGGGAAGGTGGAAAGAAGTGGAACAGAAGCTTCAGCAGTGGAGCAACTCAAAAAGGCTGAAAAAGCCCATTCTGGAATCCCCATGAAGCCTACGAGATTGGCATGCTTCTTGTTGAATTGCTGATTTATGAGGTATAAATCTCTCTCCATCTTCATCTAATTTATCTACATGAATCTTTGAACATCCAAACAGATTTTTTATAAGTTCGAATTGAAAAGAATATTGAAAGAAATAGAAACCTGTTTACATGAGATATGCAGGGGAAATATAAAGAAGCCCTGAAACGCGATTGCTTGAAGCATGAAGAAATTTCAGATGCTCGTCGTCCACTGTACAAAGTACACATGCTCGTTCTCTTTAGTTCTCTTATCATTTTTCATTTCTTCTTACCTCTTGAACTCCGACCTACTTAGAGAACTAAACGTGGCTTGTGCTTGAACATTTTGACAGGCCATTATATACATAATGCTGGGAGACGACAAAAAAGCAGAAGAATGTTGGGAACAGTTCGATGAAATCCGAGAACTATTCCATCTAAGAAAGCCCTCATCATCATCTTCTTTGGGTGAGGCGATTGACACCATTACCGATTTCCAGACGTTCAGGAACAAAGTGATGAAACTTAAAACTGGAATTGAAGAGATTTCTGCGAAAAAGAGTTCCCGTAAATGAGATGCATGAATATGATCTGAGTTTTATTTTATTTTATTTTTTTCTCTTTGTGTGGGAGAAAAAATGGTGTGTGAAGAAGAAGACGGTATCCCCTGTTCCTTCAGCGCTTGTAGTAACGCGCCTTCTAAAGAGGAACGTCGTGTCTGTGTATAACAACGGAGGAGACAAGTTGGTTTCATGTTTTTGGTCCCTCCCATCTTTTTTCTGTCTTCAGAAGCTATATCCCAGTCATCTATTTGTACGGATTGAGCCAAGTCAATGGGGTAATTACTATTTAATGAATCTATAATATTTGGTTAAAAGTATATAATGTTATGGGGAAATTATATGTCCTTAACTTATTTTTAGTGATCGATTATTAACACTACCTGGAATTCTAAAATTAATGAGGATGGGGAATGATTGAAAAATGTAGGGTAAATGCCAATATTGGTCCGTATTTTATTTTTCAGTCCTGTAGTTTATTTATGTTATTCCTCATTTGCAATGTTAATCCTTCTAATTTAAAATATATCTACAAGGATCATGATTTAGTCTAAATAGTGTTTAATTTGCTGACATTGAATTAACATGATTCATAATTTAACGTTTAACTAGCCTAAATTATGTCTTCCAGATCATCACACAATTTAGCCGTGTTAAGTCCATATCAGAAAAATAAACACTGCTATGACAATTCTTGGGTTTTATGAATATTTTTCAAACTAAAATAACTAACATTGTAAACCGGTCAAGTATATGGAACAAGGAACGATGAAAATAAATTACTAGACCAAAAAACAAAACACAGTCAAAATATATGTATATAAAGTGATATTTTCTCCAAAATAATAACAATTAACTTCTCTTGAAATTTTAAAATGAAGGTTTAGGAAATGATATTATCCCTAAATCATGAACCATGTGGAGCATTTTGAATTCTACTCTGTTTTATTGATAAATTCTTCTTGTTTTATATAAAAATTGATAAACTCAATGGCATGAGGCATAAGCCATTGATGAGGTTAAATTTTTGCACTAAAGAAAGTGCAACTTTGCAAAGTATTGGCTTTGGCGCCACAGTACCTTCCGCATACTGATGTAAATTATGAAAATACAGATAATGTCAACAAAACATAGAAGATATATATATATATATATATATTCATGGACGATTATGTATTGTATTTTAAACTTTGGTCCCTTCACTTTATCTTTGTTAGCACTCTCACTTATTGACAAAACTTGAACGTCAAAATTGATTGGCACTCGAATGCAATTAAAAAAATGGAACATTCCGCGGGTGTTTCATTGAAGATCATGAGTCTTTCTCCAGAGGAAAAAATGTGATTGCGAGATCAAATAGGAAAAAGAAAAGGATCAGCAATCTGTGAATCTGACGCATTATGGGGAAGCTAATAACTACTTCAAAACCCCTCATCCTCCATTCCAAGTTCCTCTGCTTCTCTCTCTTCTATCTCTTCTCCTCCCTCTCTCTCGCTCTCTTCACCTTTCTCTCTCAATCCAAATGCCTCCTCCGATCGTCTCCCTTCGATCCCATACGCTCCTCGCTCTTCTCCTACAATTCCTCCTATCACCCCCACAAGTATGCCGTCTCAACCACTCGCTCCACCTGCTCTTCCCCTGTCTTCTTCTCAGGTAGTTTTGTGATTCTAATCTTTGCTCTTTTCGTAATTGATCGGTTTTTGCCATCGAAGCTCTGAGTTTTGGTTTCTGGCTTTTAGATTACTGGGACGCTTTCAAGGATATCCAGAATTTCCGCGATCAGTCTTCATCTTCCCGCCGTGTTATTAAGTATATGCAGGGGAATTCTACCAGTTTCGGTGGGAATTTCAGCTCTCAAATAAGATTTTCTTATTTCAATCATCGAAATGATGACCAACAAATTCCTTGTGGATTTCTCAAGAAATTTCCAATCGCAGATTCTGGTGTGTCCCACATGAAAATTCACTTCTCTTTTTACCTGTGCACAAATTAACATCGGCCTGAAGGTGTTTTGTTCTCTGTTATGATGTAATTCAGGGCATAAACTTCCAAGCTCTGTTCTGTTACAAATAATTCATTCTGCAGCATTTTTTTAATTAATTATCAGACTGTTTTTGATTTTGAAGTTGTTGGTTCTGCACTGTACATGATGTGTGTGTTGTTTCTCTCTTGATTCAGATCAAATGACGATGGAGAAGTGTGATGGTCTGGTAGTAGTTTCAGCCCTCTTCAATGACCACGACAAGGTGCGACAGCCAAGAGGGCTGGGATCAAAAACATTAGACCATGTGTGCTTCTTCATGTTCATAGACGACATCACTCTGAAAGGGCTTCAATACCATGGAATAGTGTCAGCAGGTGAATCAAGAGAGTACAAGGTAGGAGCATGGAGGCTCGTGAAGGTTTCAAGGGAGGATTTGTATGAGAACCCAGCAATGAATGGAGTGATACCAAAATATTTGGTACACAGGCTGTTTCCAAACTCCAAGTTCAGCATATGGATAGATGCCAAGCTGCAACTAGTGGTGGATCCATTGTTGCTGATACACTCGCTGGTGATATCTGAGAATGTGGACATGGCTATATCGAAACACCCTTATTATGTTCATACAATGGAGGAAGCAATGGCCACAGCGAGGTGGAAGAAATGGTGGGATGTTAATGCCTTGAAGTTGCAGATGGAGACTTACTGTGACAATGGCCTCCAACCTTGGGGACCTTCCAAGCTGCCCTATGCCTCAGGTACACATCTCTTCGCTCGCTATCATTTATTTTAGGAGGATTACATATAAATTTCAAATAATAAAATTAATTACTTACAAATCCCATACACTTGTAATTACTGGAGTTTAATTAACAGGTAATAATATGGAAATATGAGTTGTAAATAGACTGAAAAAATAATTAATTTCGTTAGTTGGGATTTAATTTTAATTCTCCTTTCTTTTGTTAGATTATGAAATTGCTTGTGCCCTGTTTGTAAGTTGGATGTAATTTAGATCAATTTTCATTGAGAGATGAATACTGTAATGATAAGTCACGTTCTTTGATATCACTAGCTAGACGGTTAATCTGTGTTGTTTGTTTGAGAAGGACTATGCTTCTTGTTAGATTTGGTCACCATGCATATTACAAAAGGGAGAATTTCATTTAGGCTCTCAAAACTCAAAAAATTGCATGCAAGCCTAATAAAACTTGAAAATGTATTACAAGCTCAAGGACCTTTCTTACAAATTTTGCTGTGAACAAAAAAACTTATTTGCCCTCATTTCAATAGAAAGTTCATGTATCCATAACAAAACATTTATAGATTCTCAACACAATATTCATGAATATACAACATATTTGGTGGACATTAACTTGACGTATGTTGTCTCAATAAAAATATGTTGTTCATTATGGACTTTATATTATGCAAATGTTGCAAGTTTATATATGTTCATTGTGTTGAGAATTGATAGATATTGTGTTGTGTATTCATGAATATTGTGTTTCATATCATTTGCTTGTTCTCATTTCAATAGAATGTTCATGTATCCATAACACAACATTTACAGATTCTCAACACAATATTTATAAATACACAACATATCTGGTGGACATTAACTTGAAGTACGTTGTCTTAATGAAAATATTTTATTCATTATGGATTTTATGTTGTGCAAATGTTGCAAATCTACAAATGTTCACTGTGTTGAGAATTGATAAATATTGTGTTGTGTATTCATAAACATTGTGTTTTATATCATTTGCTTGTTTGTACATTTCATTTGAAATTAAACTATATTCACTAAATGTGTTGTGCATTCATGAACATTGTGTTGAGAATTTGTGAACATCTTATTGTGCACACATGGACATACCCTTGAGACAAACGCAATTGTGTATTTTTATCCGTAATAAAATTTGTAGAAAGGGTCCTTGAGCCTATAGTGTATTTTTTTTCATATTCTATTGGGATTGCTGTACAAATTTTTGTGTTTTAGAGATAATAAGTGAGATACTTATTACAAAGCCTTCGAAAATTATGCTATAGGTAGCTTGAGCTTGAAAAAGGGCGTCCTCATCGTAAAGGTAATCAAATTTGCTTTAATTCGAAGCTGATAAAAGTAGAGTAGTACATTTTACAATTAAAGGACTTTGGTTATATTTGTGTGATTAATTAATAAGTTAGGAGGAGCGGGGCGGCAAACCTTCATCTGAATGATTATTTTTAGGAAAGTGAAAAGCTTTCGCGTGCTGTGACGAATTCAAGATTATTATGATCATTATCGATCCATAATTACTAATGATAATTGCTTAGTTATGGCAAATGCAGAATGTGCCCTTAATAGAGACGGCTAATTCAAGGAAGGTTATGTGTGGGGGCGGACTTTTTTTATCATGTTTATAAATCATATCATTCAATTTTTATTATAAATTTTTTTTACCTTATAATAAATGTTGAAAAGACAAAGTATGTTATTAAAATATATATTTATAATAAAAAATTAAAAACTTATTAAACTTTTAAAAAAGGTTAATAAATTTTAATATTTTCTTGATTTCAATAAAATATATTGAAAATAATTTATAAATAAAATCATAAACGTATTTCAGTAAGTAATAGTAGATAAAAATATAAATCAATTATTAATTTCTTTTAATTTTTGTAGCGTGAGTTTTTTATATACTTTGCAAAGCTCTTTTTTTTATTTTAAAGTTTTATATAAACGACTTGTTGTCTTATAAGTTTCTCAATTCTATTATAAAATTATTTTAAATTATTAATAAAAAAATTAAATAATTTAGTCTATATTGCCCTCCCAACCTTACTAGCTTGATTCCGCCGCTGCGTGCGAAGACTGAAATCTCTCCTCATTCTCATGGGAAAATAAATGGAATTAGCATCTTAGAAAGTAGTAGCAAGTACAGCCAAGTCAACCATACAAAATTCAACCCTCACATGTAACTTGAAATAACAATCTACCATTAGGTTTGGCATGGATGATAAGTTATTCATCAGATCTTGTAAGCATGTGATTAGGATTTGATTCTTAGGCTATGCATATGAAAGAGTATATGTTAGGAGAGGTTAGCCTCTCAAATGAAATCTCAATACTTCCAAGGATTAGTCTCTAACAATTGACTTATCCTGAAAATATACTAAAAGACAATATATATTTATACAAAATAAACATCAACATTATATTGTAAACGCAAAATAAAAATGTACTGATTAAAAATTAAAAAAAAATATTATAAAGCATCTGTTATAGAATAACAGGATGAAATGTGTTGTGTTTTATCCAGTAGTATTAGAGAATGTAAATAATGAAATGGATGGATATGGCAGATGTACCAGACAGTGCTCTGATACTGAGGAAACATGGAGTAAGAAGCAACCTGTTCTCGTGTCTAATGTTCAATGAGTTGGAGGGATTCAACCCCAGAGACCAACTAGCGTTTGCATTTGTGAGAGATCACATGAGACCAAAGCTGAGGCTCAACATGTTCGACGCTGAAGTCTTCGAACAAGTGGCCCTTGAGTATCGCCACAATCTCAGGCACACCAGCAGTGAAGGTACTGATAAAGTAATGTTGAAGAAGGCTGCCACAAGAACCAGAAGGGCTGACTCTGACTTGTCATACTTCAATGGCAGCTGCTGCAGCAAGTGTCACAATTATCTCTCGGTTATGTGGGATGATGATGATCAATGATCACCATCCCCTTTGTTTATTATATTTTCCATTATTCATTTCTTGCTCTCGTGCCAAGAAATCCTAGTTTATTAGTATATATCTTCTGGACGATGAAAGGTGTAGCTGTAAAGAAACAGAACCCTTATGATTGGTTTTGTCTTTTTTGTTCGTAGAACGGAGTCTCTGACAATTGAAGGAAAAATGGGATATACAGAGAGTACTTTTACTGGGGTAAAACTGATGACCTGAGAGAGTTCGTTGTCAGGCTCGTTTCCCCTCTTTGTAAGAAAACTCATAATGAAGCCTTGCATATCCAATTTATTTTCTACTCTATACGCTTAAAAATATAAAATATTTTTTTAAAAAAATGAGTGTTTAAAAATATAAAATTTTTTAAAATATAATTATTATTATTTTTTAAAGTGGTTCTATTAATAATAAATTTATATTTATTATAGGATGTTTAATATGAGTAAATATAAAAAGATAGAGTTAGTTTGAAAGTATGTAATAACTTTATTAAGAGGTGAGATTCAGTTAAAAATATCTTACATTTTTTAATAAAAAAAATATAAAATACTCTTTTATTTTAAATTATAAATAAAATTATGCATATTTATAAAATATAACAATAATATTTTATAAATTTATTTTTTAAAAATAAAAGTATAAATTTTTAAAAATCCTCCTACACGCTTAATCATTGAGTTATAATATTATTTTAATTCTCTTTATATTTAAAAAGTAATATAAAAAATATATCATTAATAAAATTTTATTTTTTTGAAATTATCTTATATCTTGTAATAATAATTTTTTTAAATTATGGTACAATTTAGAATAGAAAGAATATTGCATCACGTCATGTAGGTAACTACCACATGTTGTCAAAATAGAAGATCGATCCATTAGCAATTAAATTTATTGCCATATGTTGTTTTGACATTTTCCTTATTCTCTGTCTGTGAACCCGTTTGAATTTTAATTAGATATGATTAATTATAAATAATTAATTAATATGATTGATTTTAATTATAATTAATTATATTATAGCACAATATTTTTGGATATTAAAATTAATTTTAATTATACAAATTACCATAAATAATATTATTTTTTAAAATTAAATTATTAATAAAATTATATTTAATATTATTAAATTTTTTAAACTTTATTTAAGAAGTAAAATGTATTATTTAATAATAAAATTAAATTTATAAACAACATTTCATAATTTATTTTAAAATGTGATTTTAACTCAATAACTATTATTTTTTTCTGTTTGAAATTTTTTTAAAAAAATCAATTATTTAGGGCCCATAATTAATGTCTTGTCAAACAGGACGCATGTTCATCTTTGTTATAATAGGATTAAGCATTAAATTTGGGGGAAAATGTTTCTTAGGGTGTATTCTGCGTGTCAAATACATGATTCTCATTCAATCACCATCATTTATCGTATCGAACACCCCCACCCACATCGTGCCCCGACAAACTGCATCTCCTTCCACTGAAATTATCTCTTTTTCTTCCTCACTATAAATTCTGTGTTTTCGTTCACAATACAAGGTGTTGTTCTCTAAAGTCTGGAACCCAGGTCAGCGAAATTTCTCGAACCCTAAATAAACTCTTCTTAGCTTTACCTTAATGGCAACACATCTAATAGCAACCCACGGAGACAACGCTGAGGTTTACCATGGTGAAGATCTCTGCAAGCAGAAGTCACGCGAGCTGCTCGGTGAGATTTGTCTGCCCGAAGGATTGCTCCCCTTGAACGACATCATCGAGGTAGGCCACAATCGCTCCACTGGCTTCGTCTGGCTCAAGCAGAAGAAGAGGAACGAGCACAGGTTCGAGGCCATTCGACGCACCGTTTTGTACGAGTCCGAGGTCACCGCCTTCGTCGAGATGCGCCGAATGAGGAAGGTAACGGGGGTGAAGAGCAAGGAGCTGTTCTTTTGGGTCACTATCTCCGATATCTTCATTGATGATCCCGATTCCGCTAAGATTGCCTTCGCTAATTCCAGCGGGATTTCCAGATCCTTTCCTGTCTCGGCTTTTCAACTCCAAGAAGAAGATCAAGAGAAGAAGGATGGTAACTAGCAAGTAGAATTAGCAGCAGCAAACGCAGGAACAATTACCGGATTGTTCCAGATGAAAGAATTCAATTCAAATAATTCTAATTTTAGGGTTTTATTTAGTTGGACCTTTTTATTCAATTCAAGTGATGGTTCAACAATTCGAAATGGCAAACCTTGGGAAAGTAATTTACCCTCTATAATTTATTGGAAATTATCTTGGTTGGAGTTGGAGATCGAAGATTATCAGATAATGCCAGTCTGGATTCAAAAAAAAAAAAAATCACTCGAATCAGCATAACATTGTTAACGGGATTCTTCAACTTCGAATTTTTCAGTGTCTGGCTACTTGGTTCCTCCCAAGATTCGATGTTCATGTATCCTTCGAATATGATTCAAAATTGTCATGCTAGTTGCTATTTTTTTTTTTAAAAAAAGTCAAGAATTATTTTTGTCCCTTCAAATTTTATGTAAAAGGTTATTGGGAAGGTTAAACTTATTATGAATTAATTCTCTTAATTTTAAAAATTCTCTCACTTATTTTCTTATCATTTTTTCATTATTAGTTAGCCATTAGTAGCCTTATATTATATTTTTAAATATTTTTTATTATAAAATATTTGAGTTGAGGGTGTATTATTTAAATAAAAATTGAAGGGTAAAAATAACCTTTAAATCAATAAAAAATATTAAAACAATATTAAAGTTCACTAATAACAAACAAACATTAAATATTTTTAATATCAAAATGATAAAAAATAGAATCTTTAACGTTGAGAAATAAAATTAACACATAATTGAGTTTATGGTCTCTAGTTATCCTTCGGATAAAATGAAGGGGTAAAAATAACACTTGATCCTTATTTTAATGTATTCTAAAACTGTTGTGTGGAATTATTAACATCAGCTTCATGGTAATACTTTTTAGCTTTTTATATATATTTGTTCAATGCAATGGTATATTTGAATATTTAAGCTTGAGAATGTAAGGTAATTATTTTAAATAAAAGTATAAATTTAATCATAAATTATTTTTTAAGAAACAGAAGGTAGCCTATATTATTTATGGTGTTACTGTAAATCATGAACTTATAAAATCAAAGCACTTGGTACTTTTCATCAATTTGTTGATGACACTATTTGAAGAGAGAGAAAGATAGATTAATCATTTTATCTCTACCACAAGGTTGTGAAATCGATCTGTCTCGAGGTTGAATTCATCGACATCTCCACCTCTATTTCTATCTCTACCTCAATGTTGCAAAATTAGTTACTCCTTCTTCTCTTTTCAAGAACAAATAATTTTATAAGCAAAGCATAGATATGAGCAAAATTCTCCATCCAATAACCAAAACATTTGTTGATCTCAAGAACACAAAGCTAAAATCTAACACAGTCACTATTTACAACTAAAATCTCAATACGAGATCAAGTGTATCATCTATATCATCATCAATCATCACCTTGTTTCTCCTTTGGAATGGGGAAGAGATGGACAAATGGCACTAGTACAAAAAATGCTTTTTGAACCGGTTAAAAAAGCTAATCAAAATTGAATTTAGAACTGATTTAGATAAGAGTGGTTTAAAAAATGTGAGACTTCCTAAACCGGTTGCAAAATTGTCAAGAAGGTTCATGTTAGAAAATTGTCAAAAAAAACAAAAAAAAGGAACACTTTCTCTACCAGTTTAGAAAGTTCATGTTCTAAATTAGTTATTGTGTTAACTGGTTTAGTATATATACTTTTTAAGTCAGTTTAGAAAGCATTGCATACTAAGCCAATTTTGACTTTAACAGATTTAGAATATGAACTTTCTAAACTGATTAATGTCTTAACCAGTTTAGAAAGTGATCTTTTTTTTTTTTAAATACTTTCATTTGTTTTATCTTAAGCCCCCTATTTTTTAGGACAAATTTTTCAATAACTTACAAATAAAAACCATCTAATCCAGTCCAGTATAATCTTATAATCGAATAACTAATATCAATAAATCAATTGAAATAATATTTAATTCAAATATGTAACTCAAATAAACCCTAAATATTGTATGTACAATTTCATGAAACTAATCAAACTATTTAAAAAAGACATTATAAAAACTATGTGCTACCCCATATGAAACTTTATGAAAAACTCCATCCACCATTACTTGACCTTATCAATGTTCTCCTTAAGGAATGGTTCAGTAAGCTCGAACATCTAAAAAGAAAAATAAAATATTAGTAAATTGTGAAGGAAGAAAAAAAACAAAACTAGATGGACTAAAAAAAAAACCAAACTAATACATTCACCTCTTAGGTGAATGAATTCACGCCATGCATGATAATCTTGAAAATATGCCACATGACATACAAGCCACATAATTGAGACTTCTTTGGCTGCCTATGACTTTGTAAATGAATAGAAAAATTATATTTTTAAAAATTAAGTAGGTTAATTTCCCAAGAAATGTACTCTTACCTTTGGCGTGATCCATATAGGGTCATTAATCTCATGAGTATGCTTCCTCAACTCATCATGTTGATATGTCCTCATAATCTTATCAGCAAAATTACAAAGTCAACAACCACTAATTAAACATAACAAACGATGCTTTATAGTGAATGGATACTTACTAACCTACAGTCTTCTTCAAATCTTTCCCTACTTTATAGTGAAGGGAGCACAAGAAGAGGACAATGTTGCTCTTCATGGTAAGGAGTGCCAATTACCAATGGCCACTATAGAAAAATATTAATGGAAGTTAAAGAAAGCAAATTCAAAGCATAATTATATGAAAGACAAAAAAATTTTTACTCATGGATATATGGTGCAATGTAGTACTCTTTCGGAGTACCTCTAAGATATATATTCATCTCTCAGCTTAGGAGTGTTCTCGAGCAAATTAATCCAAACTTATGATATTTTCCTAATGACACCAAATCACGATGGATATATCTACAATATTAGATGTGAGTTAGTTAAACTATTTAATTATACTAATTTAAGATAAGATGCTTATTATCACATCTGAAAATGCGATGCGGATAGCGCGCAAGATTTAAGATTCAACCTTTGAAATCAAAACCGATTTAAAAGAATCGCCACTAAAATTTTAAAAAAATCTTGGAAAACCTTTAAAAGAAAATGAAAAGGATAGTTTGTGAAAACAAG